AAGCATCGATATCCAATATTGTCTGCAAAACGCTCACTGAAGACCAATATGATTTATTATCATATAACTGTCTACTTGCATGTATCTATGCATATGTCTATTTGCATGTAAATATATTTGTAGATTGTTTATATAATTTTAGTTTATTTATACACATTTATATACTCCACAGTTGTTTTGTGGAAGTTTCTAAATAAAAAATATTACTAAATCTCAAAATATTGCTAAATTCGCGTAATAACATAATTTATTTTGCAAAAGACCTTCATTTAAAACTTGCATTTTTTGCTTTCTATTTTCAATAATTACATAAAACTAGAGTCAATTAGTATTTATTTTCGAAAATATAGAAGTATTAGAGCAGAAGCAATAATTGATGTCTTTGAATATTGTGGTGTGAAATACACATTTTTATTTGGGCGTTGTCAGAAAGTATCTTTGGTTTACCTAAAACGAAAATTGTAACTTAAACTTTTGTAGATGTTAAAAAATATTTTACCAAAGTTAAGCCATTATCAAGAGTTTTCAACTTTACAATTTACAAAATATTTATGCTAAAATACATATAAATAAACTTTCAAGACCCATTTTGTTAACTTAAGAAACTTGAATATAAGACATTGTCTAAATCTCGCTATCGTTTTTATCTCTATTTTTATGTTTACGACCGAGTTCTCATTAAATTGCATTTTATTTGTTTTTATTTAAGTGAATTTTGAGAAATTAAATGAATAAAATCTGAAATTGAAAATAAATTGCCTTTTCTGTTTAATTTGTCACCAATAACTTTCATTGGATTCAAATAACCTAAAACTAAAGGGTTCAAGTCAAGTCGAGCCTTTTTTTAAATTATCCTTCTCTTAATTAAGAAATCGCCCTCCTGTATGGCAAGAACACAATTCATGTCATTATTCTGCAAAACTGCTTATTGCTCTTTTTATTTGAAATAGCATTAATCTTCATCTCTTTTTATTCATAATATTAATTATTTAACTGTAAAATCAATTGGACTTTATCACATGCAAGACTTGCAATAGTTAGAAGAATCTAGCTAATTTTCTTACATAAGAATATTATATTTCATATAAATTGTATTCAGATTTTATTGGATTCAATTCGAAATAAACAATGGACGGCGGCTCATACGTCAAATGTCAAATGGTTTTGACAGATGATTTTCAATTACATTTAATAGGATGTTTTAGATGAATATTATTTAATTGTAGTAAGTAGTTTTGTTTGTAGTTTTATTTATACTTAAAGGCGTTATTAAACGAACCGCATTATTAGAAACCTAGAATATCAACTTTTTTAAATGTTTGACAAATGACAATCTTTGGATTTTCTAGATATTGTTTACAAACACCATATAATGCAAAATAACGTTTGCTGGGTCAACTAGTGTATGATAAAAGTCTGATCAATATTTAAATTATTTTAGTAAATATTTCATTACATTTAGTGTATATTATGAAATTAATAATTTATAATGTATTTTACTGGAACATGGAATAACTAACTAATTAGTATGCATTATATATGCTCAAACGGGTATTGATCTATGGTTTAACTTTCTCTTTATCACTCTACTCGTACGCTCATACACTTGTATATAATACCTACATATTATATATATATATATATATATATATATATACATATATATAAATTTATGTATGTATGTATGTATATATGTATATGTACTTTATACAGATATGTCTACTTATATATGTATGATATAAATTACAATGTGGTCGATGGTATAATTACAATCTTCATAATTATGATGTAACACAATTTATATCTCAATGTATTCTTCAATTGAATTATATTTTTTGTTTAAAGCACGTGCTACCAAATTATTCATTTTTTATATATATTAAACAGTGGTTAGAACTAGCAGGTGTTCTGAAGGCTTCTGTGATTATTTATAATTTATTATCACAGATTAATTAATTTACGAATGCTGTTTTGAGGGCTATTGGTTTTCCCTTTCTAATTGTGATTTTTTAAATGGAAACGGATATCACTACTGTTTGATATCAGGTTGTCTGAGGGAATTAACCTGATAATTTGTGAACACCAAAGTTTTTTACAGCTGAGCCACAGCAATTCAACATTGTGATTATAATTAGCTTTTTAATAAAATTTGTGCTGTTTATGCTGCTAAACAGCTGTATGTGCTGTTTAATTTTCTGTTTATACTTAAAGAAGTAAGATTTTTTCTAAAGTGGTAATATCAAAGCATACTGCATAATGTTATTTAACATGAAGTAGGGCGGGGCAAAAAGATGCAATTAGACTTTGAGCAATTATATAGCGGAAATAAAATCAATTATATCACAACAAATAACAAATATCAAACAAACAACTATCTGACTATATTCAGTAAAGCTCCTAGCTTAATCATCATTGTAAAAATGTGTTTTTTTTTTGCTGTTTTTCAAAAAAAAGGTCGGATGGCCACATGGCAAATAAGTCTAATGTGTTATTTTTAATTTTAAATGGATTTTACCAAATTATAGCTACTTTATTCAACCAATGCAAAATATAAATTTCATAGGTACATTTTTCACAGAGATAACATTTGTATATAACCTTGATCTAGTATTTGGTCAGAAATATTCATCAGTGGAATAACTTGGAATTAATAGTTATTCCAAATTCAATTTATATCTTATAAAATTGCTTTTTTAAACTTAATTTAATATTTTTATTGTTTAAACCTTTTCCAGACTAAAGTTTCAGTTGCTTCTTTTTTCCCAGTTTTATATAAAAAAACTGTTAATTTTTTAATAGCTAACTTTCAATGAATTATACATCTTGTAGAACAATTAATTAACGTATACTTTAAAATTATAATAAGATCTCGTGAACTAAATAATAGTGCTCATAACCAAAAAAGCTAACAACGAAAAACAATACATCTATTATGGATTTTCAAACATTGCCGTTTATCCCCCGATAGCGATGTCGTACGGATCAAGATGGTTTTACATTTTTTTCCCTCTACTTTCAAATATCAAAATCGTAGCTTTGAATGTTTTTGAGATATCATTTATGCTCCACTCTAAATGTATGTTTTTCTTCAACGCATAACATTTTCATAACTTTATTTATATAAATAGAAAATTAGCAAACGATAACTAATGCACCAAAAAAGCACGTTATCACGTTAATGATAAAAATTGCATATCATATAAATTGCATTTGAGATTTTTTCTTAACAAACAACACTTTTTATCCAAAAGTTTAGACAATAAAGTAAATAAATAGTACTAGCAAATCGCTTAGTGGAAAAAAATCTTATGTGGCATATTAATTTTTGATATGGCATATGAATTTGATAAGGCGTTGATAATTTTTATACTCTTGTAAATTCAATGTTTTCTAAATAATTTATATCGAATTCGGGTCTGTTAGCACATATTTCCTTTCACATGCACGCTTATATATTACAGGAAGCACACATGTGCAATATTTTAATCTAAGATGTGTCAAGAGTATAATTACTCAAGAAGAAATTAGCACAAAACATTCAAGATCGTATATATGCATGACATGCTGTTTCTCGAGATATTATACATACAGATAATTAACATGTAACATTAAATACGGTATTAATCTTTGTATTAAATCTGAATAAAATTAATATTTTTTCTGAATATGGAATAACGATCAGAACTAGCTAGGTGCTCTATGTTGGGAATGAATCATATTTTGCTAAACCTTAAATTGCGTTGAATACTTGCTTTTTTTTTAATAATTGGCAAGCTGGGTGTCGAACTTTTTAACTTCCCGTAGCGTAAGTTATAGTAATCACAAAAAAATCGAAAATGAAATTTTTTTATATATCTTTACGTTTCAGAGGTTTCTGAACATTTTAGCATACCTTAGAAATGTTGTTGTGTGTGTGTGTGCGGATACAAATTTTCGTCGACGATTTCGGGAACACCGATCAACCGATTTGAATAATTCAAAAACATTCGATTCGTATTGATAAGATGTGCTGATTAGTTTTCGGCGAAGACAGGTCTAGCCGTTCCGAAGATACGGGGCAAAAAGTGCCAAAAACTGTAACTCTGTTTTCAATTCAAAAAACATTTTAATTGTATTGACGAGATGAACTGATTAAATTTTTGGGGAGGCAGGTCTAGCGGTCATGGACCCTCAATAAAAAGAAGTTAAAAAAATGTCATTTGGCGGTCAAAAATTACGGGAAGTTCCTGCAATCTGCCTTGAGGCACTATTCAATGCACCCCACTAGTTTCGTGTTCAAATGCATTATACCAACTGATAGATTTATCATAATCGAATTCTGGCTTTAATACATCATTTTGCTTATAACTTAATTTACTCAGATGAAGAAATTAAAAAAATATATAAATATATAATAATATATTACACACTATTATATTTTAGAATTATTGTGCGCTCAAAGTTTGGGAATAAGTCTTTAATATCTGTTTTCACAATACTGCTTCTCAGCAATAGTACACAACCTATTTTAGTGTAGAAGTGTAATGAACTTGCATTTTTATTTTTATAAAGAACTCGAAGATTTCTTAATCAAATTTAATCAAATATTCTTATGTGTCATAATACTTGAATTCACGATAGATAGCGCAGGAATTTACTTAATGACGTATGTTAATAACAAATATAAGAAACTTTCAATTGGCGTGCGCTCTATCTAAATGTTTATATTAAGAACTAATAATATTAGAGATTAATTTTTGATTCATTTGAAAGCATTGGCGCCCTTGGGAGCTAAGAAATTCGAAAATGTCCTTGTTAAGGACCACCCTATTTAACAGTTAATTAAATAAAATTTTAAATCAAAAGGCTGGTATTCTTCATTAAGGTTAACTACAGGTCTTCACATATGAGTTTTATACAATTATTTCAATAATATAAAATCAAATAAGAGAAAGAATAATGAATGTCATTTTTTTTCATTTTCTAGATTATGTTAGATATAAAAAATTGCTTGTACTTACTATATTTCAATAAGTTCACAGCTCAGCAATAGTTTCTTCGCGCCAAGTTCAACTACAGCTATAGTCTGGTCGTGAAAATATACCATTCGTAGAGAGTCGTTCCTCACGCGATAACCACTGAAAATAAAGTTGAAAGTTTAAATAATATTATGTGAAATATTTTTTGCAAGTAGCTAATCATTTTCTTTAACAAACAAGCTTGATAGTCTTTCCATAACTCTAATACTGATGACTTTTTTTTTATTGATACAACACAGTCGGGGAGGGCTAATTTTTAATCACCACTAATCAATGCAAAACATTTATTCAAAATGTTTACTTACATATGATAAATATTATATAATTATGTATAAGGATTAATTTTTTTTTTTTAAGTTTTAACAAACTTTTGATATTTATACCTATGTAATTCTGTAATTGGTTTTCATATGTATGTTTATATGGGTTTGGATACATTTTAAAAAATCATCAAATTGTTAAAACGTCTTATCTATATTCAAACAATCGTGACGAAATTCAATTTTTGCATGCTTGAAATGGGTTGCATAAACACATAAAAACAAAACAAAATTTACACATAATCTAGAACTTCAAATACTATAATATTTGATAATATTATCTACCCACATAAAACATTAAATCAATCGATTATAAAGTTCAAAAAAATAAATCTAAGAACTACGTCCGGTAATACTATTTTTTATAGTGATGATAGTACTGAAAAGATGGAATGGATTTTTACTTATTAGAAGTACTTGATAAATAAGTTTAGTTTTATTATTTTAATTATTTGGTTAATTTGATCGAACTACTTCCTTGCTATGATGTTCATAAACTTAAGTTTGAGTACCACATTTCTGATGGAACTTAGAATCACGAAATTTTTGAATTGTAGATCATATCAAAGGTCTATGATGTGGAAATATTTTTTTTTACTAATTTGTATAAAAAAGTTGACGTTTTTTTATCATTCCTATATATACTATATTTTTGTGAACTAAATTAAATCAAATGTTTACTACTTAGTTCAAAAGTTGAGATGAAATATCAAACTTTTTTTTTGCTATATTATTTATGAAATCAATAGAGAATTAAGAGAGCGAATTAGATTCCGTAAAATTAGTATATTTTCTATTGGTATAAAAAACTAAACTTTCAATGTTAGGCCTACAATACCTGTGTAATTTTTTTTAAAATTATTGTCATTATAGTCGTAGCAGATGACCATCAACACTAGTTGCTTTTATTTTAATTATGTATGTATATACATTTATGGATATGTATATATATACATATATGTACATAATATGTATTACATATATATATATATATATATATATATATACATATTTATACATATATATATATATGTATATACATATTATATATACATATGTGTGTGTATATGTCATATCATATCATATCAATTATGACCTTAAAACAAAACTGCTTTTTATAGCAGTGCTTTATAGTAGCAGTTTTTATATTTGAAAAATTTTTTTGAAATGCTTTACCACAATCTAAAATATGTTCTATTTTTTATCAGTCTTACAAAAAAAATCCTCAGAAATGTAAATTATTTTAATTACCATAATAATCAGCCACGTGTTGCTGTAGCACGGTAGTTATTATCTGCAGGTTATTATGTTAAGGTATGATTAATTAAATTATTATTCAAAGAAAAATATGAAAGGGAGAGTTGTATAAAGTATTTTCGATGTTTATATTATCAAACTTGTATTTCATGAAGTTCATTTTCTTCATACTTAAATGGTTGTTTGCAATTGCGCCAATAATTTATTCGTAATACCATTTATAAAAAAAATATTGTAGTCCAGTCATTAGAGTAAGTTCACCTCGGAATTCGAGATACCAACTGTAAGTCTATAAATACTTGTTATTGACACCCTAAAGTTGTCTCAAAACCTACATTTAGGGTGTCAATATACAAGTATTTACAGACATACAGCTGGGTCTCTCGAATTCCCAGATTCTAACCTAATTTAAGCTTAAATGACTGGACTATTGATATTTATAAATTCAAAAATATTGAATAAGATTTCTTCATCCAAATTATCAACTCATAGCAAGATCGTAATTTGTGTTGTATTTTTTTAACTTAATATCATAATATCACTAGACAGCAACTCATTGATTTCATTTTCTTTATACTGACAATGAGACTAATACTAGTTATTTCTATTTGTGACTGTTTTTACTTGGAATTATAATTAGATACGTATTTTCAAGTAAAAACTGACATCACTGATGCCCGAGACGGTAACACAACCATTTGTTTGAGATCAAAATGCCCGAGACGGTAACACAACCATAAACTTGTTGGGTTAAGATATGCATTGAGTGCACCCTCATATCAAGCAGTATTGTTATCCACTTTGCTAGAAAATATATATCTGAAATATGTTTTCAAGTAAAAATAGCCTTTACTTGTAGCCATTGCTACATTACAAAAATTTATTACAAAGCTTACGTTTATTACGACAAGCTTCATGAAGTAGTCTTAAACCAATTTGGACTTATGGTATATCGCTTTAGGGTTTTGCAAGGAAAATTAACATAAATAGCTCGAGCAAGTGTTAGAGACGTCTAGATATATTCGAAATTGACTAATTTACCAAGTAGTAACATAAATCAGCGGGTTTGCAAGAAATTACTGAGAAATACCAAAATTACCGAAATTATAAAAACGAACTTTTTGACTACCTGCGACAAGTAGTAATTTTTTGCCAGTTAATTATGAAGTAAATTTTATACAAGACTCTAAAGTGAAAAAAAATATATACAAAGGATTCAAAATTGTAAGATATTATAGAACAAATATTTCAATTAAAGTAGGGTGATATGGTTTTTCGAGACGGGGTGGATGGTGGTCTTTAAAATAACAAATGCAATATAAGAATACAATAAAAAATCAGTTTTTTTATATAAATCAATTTTTTAACTGAAATGCGAAATTTTAGTAAGAACTTCATTGTTTGATTATATGTAATATTTTTTTATCTATGATATTATTTATACTTTATATTTTTCGATCTTATACTTTTGGCTTGCATAAAATTCTATTTCATTTTCTTCACAATTAATTTTTAAAAAATAGTACTGTTCATTTGTTTTCATAATTTTTGGTAATTTACCTATTAATTTTCAAAAATACCGGGACAAAAGATCTAAATCTTGGACAAATATTACATTTAGGAAAACCCGGGCTACAAGGTGAAAATCCGGAACTGTTCCGGCTAAAACGGGACGTATGGTCACCTTAATTCATGGTATTAAATAGTCAGTAATGCTTAAAAAAAGATTCATTTAAAAAAAACTTATTATTTTAATGAAGTATTTGATATTTTAACATCATATTTAAGCTATTAATTAGTGACCCCCCCCCCTTGTTCTCGGGTTAGCAAAGCTAAAAATTGTCGTCCTGGTTTTGATTTAATGGTCTCCTTACTTAATGCTTTTATATCTGTATGTATTACTTCTGTCAAGAATGTCGGTTGAAGAAATTTGCAGAGATAACAATAACGGTAAACTCTTATAAACAATTCCCTTGCAATAATAATAAACTCTTGGAAATAATTTGGCGTGCAATGAAGCCGCTAAATCGTAAATGTAGCGCGTTGTCTTTTTCAGTCGTCGCCGCCTGTGGGTTTCATTTTAATGGCGATGTCAATTCTGCGCGGTTTTCCAGCCGCGTTCACATGTCGTCGACCGTGAAAATCGTACGATCATTAAGAAACTAAATTATAATGATTACACTATCATAAGAAACGTGTGCGATGATTTTTTTAGAAATTTGCAACTAACGGGTTCGGTTTCGGAAAAGCTTTTATGATCTGCAAACAGGACAAAAATACAATTAATCGAAGAACAGAAGTAACTAAATCTTTTACTTATTTTTCTGGGAAAATTTGTCGGGGCATTTTCATAAGTTGACCATATGTTTTTGCTTAGCCGGGACTGGCCAGAACAGTCCCGGATTTCTACCTTGTGTCCCGGATTGTCCCGTGCTTTTGAAAAGTTTTTGATAATAAAGTTAGAATATGGATCGATTATTTAGTATCCTCATCAGATCAACTCCAATGCGATAGAGAAAGTTCAGCGTAAATTTCTAAAATATCTTTATTATAAAACATACAAAATTTACCCTGAACGTGGCTTTGACCACAACCCTTTATTAAAAGAATTTGGTATACCTTCTCTTGCCACACGTTGATTTATCTGTACTATTATGTTCTTATTTAAACTTTGCAATAGAGTATAGACTGACTTCTTATTCTTAACCAACTATCCTTTAATGTTCCTAGGCTATCTTCGCGTTCACAATTCTTTTTCAATTATCTTACTCCTAAATCTAATTCTCTCTTAAATTCGCCTATTCTACTTATGTCCTCTAACTTTAACTTGATAATGAAATAGATATTCATAACACTTCACCTAATCAAATAATCTCCATCTGCTTAAGTTAACCTTTATATTTCTTTTCAAATATCTTTCATTATTTTATCTTATTCTGCAAATAAATAATATTGTTACATTCTGTATTATGTAATTTTGTGTTAAGTGCATTATTAATTTTACTAAATATTGTAAATTTTTACTAGATGTCGACTAAAGACAGTTTTAAATTATGTGGTAAAATAAAAAAAAGATTGTAATTTTGTATATATATATTAATTGTTATCCATAATGTAAAATAATTGTATTTTTAAGTCCTCTTGGAAGAAATCGGTGGGCTAAAAATTGAAAAGAATAAAATAATAAAATTACAACTACCCATCAAATATCTGAAACTGATGAAGACAACGAGCATCCTTATATAAATCAACACATTATGAATGAGAAAATTGCCGAATACAAAATTTCCAAGACGGGTTAAAATAGGCTCATAGGCTTTACAACTTTTATTTACAATTTCACAAAAATTGATAAAAATTCTGTAAACAAATTAACAGGTGCTATTTTTTCTCAAATTGAGTATGAAGACAATTTTTATCGAAAAATATGAGATGTAAATAACATCATAGGTGAAAAAAGTATTACATATAATCGAATAATGAAGTTCTTCCTAAAATTCATTAGAATAACTAAAAATTGCCGTTCCGGTTTTGACTTCAAAAATATGGTTATCTTAATTTTAACCACGCGTTGTGTGCGTCTTGGTATCATGCAGCAGTGATATTCATTATTAATTGGAAATATAGAACTGTTTTGCAAGTGAAAATACTATGCGTTAAAAATTAAGAAAAAAACACTAATTTCAAGAATGTAAAAATATAATCACAACTAAAAGAAAGACTTATATTTTTATAGTCCGTACCAATTTTTAAGGTTTTGTGTCCAACAGCTTCGAAAGCAATGTTTTTATTAACTACACACAGAACAGAAATGAAATTAATTCAAGAACAGGGTGAAATTTATTTTATTTATTTTTTTTATGTATGTTATGATTTTTAAGATTTCCTGGTTTTGCTGTAATACTTTTAAAAAGTAAAATCCAAGAATATGAAAAAATTTTATTTTACTTAGTTTTATCTTAGGTGTAATCATTTTTAGGATTCTGTAACTAACGAGCTTTGAAAAATGCTTTTTTGATCAAAAATAAAATTATTTGCAGTAGGATTTTATGAGTTTAAAAAATGTCTTTATGAAAAATATAATATCAGTCGAAAACAATATAAAACTTTTATAATGTTTGTTATGTTTTTTAGGATTTTGTGATTACCGAAATTGGCTGAAATGCCTATATGAAGTCTATATGAATAAATACAAAGGATCAAGGTAAAATCAGTTCAAGAACAGAGTAAAATCGCTACCTAGGCATTTGAGGATTTATGAATGTAAATAAAATATGCATTTTTGGAGGATTAGTAGAAGGAAAAGAGGTAAATAACTGCTTTTATAATCCAAGCCTATAGCAATATAATTACTTGTGTCATATTTCTGGATATATCGAAGAGATACTGAAATATAATCATTTCGGTGTCCTTGCTTAACCATCAAACATTTTAACTACGTTTGGGAACTTTTATCAGAGCTATAAATTCAGTAAAATAAATAATTGAATAAGAAAATTTTAGAATTACTTACATGAAAAAAATGGTTATTTGTTAAAATGGAAGTGAATAACAGAAACTTAGTTACTAAAATTAGTGAATAAGTTCTTAGTTAATAAACGAACATGCTATTCATAGGTTTGATATGATAATTTTGGTACTGCAGTTTCTGCAGGGTTATCTTATTTTGAAGCTAAACATTTGTCTAATATCCGTCCTAATTATAGTTGTAGCCATTTTAAAATCGAGCAAGAACTGATTTAATATGTATTAGTTACATATATTTTTTTCTGATTTAATATGTATTAATTACATATATCAATGCATTATGTTATATTAATTACATATATAAATTTTACCAGTCAAATTAAAAAATGCTATTCTTATTATCTCTCACCTGAAACTCTTTTGAACTTCGTTCATCTCATTTCCAGTATCCATATAATTGGCTGGCGTTGACAATAGTGTAGATAAAAATGTTGTTAATGGTGACGTCACGTATCTTGTAGATGACGTCATAAGTGTAGGGGATGCCAGTGCCATAGCCAGCACGACCCCAAGTGTCATGTAACTCAGAGATAGTAAATACATCTGGAAAAGAAATAAATACGATGTACGAGAGTATATAAATGTTTTAGTAAAGTTATCCGCACACACACATACACACACACTCATACATTCATTTTTTCTAAGGTATGCCATAATGTTCAGAAACCTCTGAAACGTAAAGATATATAAAAAAAAAATATTTTCGATTTTTTTGCGATTACTATAACCCGCACACCATGCGGGAAGTTATTATTTATTTTTATGATATGCAACAATTTAATCAATAATTTCTTATATGCTTAATTTTTGGTAAAATGTTTCAATACCAAACACGCAGTCTGCTTTCAGACATTCCAGGTCAACCCTATTGATCTAAAAGACCTTGGTATTTATTTGATAAAAATTTTCCTAGTTGTTTTGGGTCAGAAAAATGTTCCATTCAAATAAAATATACAAATGAGACTATATTTTCGTACATTTTTTTCCTATACAAATGTTGACTTTGTCTTTGGATACCAATGCTGGATACCAATTAGGTACATCTGTCCAACTTACTGCCAAAAGCAAATAGTTGGGGGTCTATTTTAGAAATTTGTGCACCCTCCGACCTAAAGATATTTCTATACTTATTCAATATATAAAGAACTACATAATACTTGTTATAGGTTTCAACCTCTAGTTTTAATAATACAAATGTTGTCTTCAACTAAGAGAACAACAAATGTTGAAGACAACAAATGTTGCTCTATCAATTTAGGTTAATAATTAGACTATCTTCATTAATACATCATATAACAATTTTGAATAATGTTTATTAGTGATATGGTAACACTCGTGATGCACACATTTATTAGTGTCAACCATTATTATATAATGATAAATTATAAATTATATATTTATAATAGCATTGGAAATATGTATAATATTTAAAAACAATAATGTAATTAAAGTCATACTCCACATATGACATGATCGGTTTGTCATTGTAATTAGCATTTAGAAATGAACGTTTATTAGAGAAATGAAGCAATTTCTGATTAATAAATTGTATAATATTCGTTCATACGGTGGATTCATGTAATTGTGTTTGAAGAACTTCATGTAATTAAAATTAACATACATTCATTGACTGCTTGTATTTTTTTTTACTTTTTCGCTGGCGATATAATCTCATTCTGTGAACAGCTGTAATATCTGTCTTGTCTAAAAAATATTTTTCATTTTAATAACTTCAAAGATTTATAGAAACTACGAATAATATAAAAATAATTTCTAATCATTAAACTTACTAATCATTGATCTTATTAATCAGTATTTTCAAGGAACACGGTAAAATATTCTTCTGATTCAGGCATATTTCATTAAATCGAGATTTGTACTACGATGTAACTTTAAAATGTTTATTTATCTATGCCGATTTCCTTATTGATATCGGTACGCATACAACGACAGATCTCTATTCACATACGCGACGACTAATCACAATCGACCCGTATAGAAATGATATCATCGAGAGCGAATGAAAAATCGAAAAAAAAAGTTTTACTTCAAAAATGTAAAACACATAAACGATTAATGACACTTGCGCAATTCATTATAGTTTTTTGAATAATATTTAATTCGTAATAATAAATTTAGTTCTTTATTAATTTATTCCAACAATCACTAAGCTTATCCTTCACATTATATGCGAGAAATTCATATATCAATGTAAATGAAATATGTATCAGTCTAATACGATCACAAGCAGCACGTGATTGAAATAATGTGAAAAACCATGGACATGTGAATATTATTTTGTTGTTCTTATAAAAAATTATTAGTATTTCTTCAGGCAGAAAAAAGCTAATATTTTATGCTTCAAATTAATAAGGCACGCATGGAGGGTTTTTACGTTATTTTGCATGACGTTCCAAAGAATGACCATCAGCTTAAATTTTTCACTAATAAGATTATTTTATTTATTATGTAATTAAAAATACCTGAATTTAGCACCATCTTAAAATTTTAATTGAATTTCAAATTTGAATTTGAATTGAATTTCAGAAACTTCATTGAAACAAAAATTCTTTTAAATTATTTTTTTTTAAATTTCAATATCTGCTACAACTGCTTAATAGCATAACATCTAGTAACAATGGGTCTATAAATAAAATATAGTTGGATTAAATTAGATTATATTAATATGAATACCTAGAGGTAATATGATAGAGACTCTTATACCACTTCATTGACAAAAAAATAAAATTTGAACTAAATTTGGAAGTTTTGTTGTAAATGTAAATGTTTGCAGTTTACAAATAAAATTTAAATTTTCAGAACACTCAAAAAAGTAAAATAAAGATATTTTTATGATTGGGCAATAATTTGAAAAGTACACGGTAGAAAATAAATTGCATCATTATAATCAAACCAACAAAAATATATTATGGATAGAATCGCAGCTTAAATTAAAAAACTAATACTGAAACAATTAGATAAATGTTAATTTATGTATAAAATTTTTCACTTCTAAAACATATTTTTATTTAATTTTAAATCAATAAAAAATTAAAAATAATTATAAACTTATTATTATAGGAGCTTATCTGAAATGGTTGATGTAGGTTTTCTATCATCCAAACTCTTATCAAAGTAAGTTTGTTTGTTTGAATAAATAAATTTTAATAGTGCATGTTATTTATATGAGATTTTTTTAAAGTGATATAAATATCTATTAAATGTTTTTCACAATTTATTTACTGATGGACATGATAGCTATGCTTTTTGAATTTTATGGGTTCAAAATTATATAGGAAATGAAAACCAGGAATTTTAAAAACATTAACATTCCTACAAATAAATAAGTGCATATTTTAAAAGATAAGTGTGTATTTTGTGCATATATTTTCATAAATTATGCCATATTTTTTTAATAATACAATTATTATGCCAAACTATTATGTACATAGATAATTATAAGTTCATGATTATAAATGGGTCCAACGGTCGCGTTCTTATTTGTAATTCTTTGAGTATTTATTATAACAAGAAATAGTAAAAATGATGATTTTATTTTTAATACACGGGATAAGTGCTGCTATAAATTGAAAAATGTATTTTTAAATATATATAATGGGTAGTACTGCCCTAAGGCTACTCCCACTCGATTCAAAGAAGAATAGTGGGAGAGATTTTCCATTGCCATTTCACACCGCAGTGCTCGAAATTGGCTATTTTTAATTGGAAATATATCATAGATCTATATTTTAAAGTGAAAATTGATATCACTACTGCATGATACAGGTTATCCTATCTTCTCAATATCTTATCTTCAAAAATTAGTTTTATCTTTGAATTTTAATTATAAGAATATTAAAATATTTGAAGCAAAGCTAATTATAATTATCTATAGAAAACGTCGGCAAGAAGTCAAAATTTTCGTTCTTATACACCCCAAAAATAACGTGATATCATGCAGCAGAGATATCAATTTTTACTTGAAAATATAGATCTCTGATATGTATCCAAATGGAAATAGCCCATTTCGAGCACTGCGGTTTGAATGGCAATTTGAAATCTCACTATTCTTGTTGTTTGAATTTCAATGGTTTTTGAATATCTAAATTCAGGATTTTTCGTGAAAACTGGGGCGAAATTTTTTGTAGTTTTCTGCAAAAACATAAACTTTACCTTTTGGAAGATAAAAATTAGACTTGAATTAATAAATGAAGATAAGCTTTATTTAATTTGTAAATTAAATTTATCATTTTGGAATAAATCTTCAGCTAGTTTTCCCCAACAATTTGTTCCTAACATGATTCACATAATGTAAGTTTTCTATTTAATATAACAAGAGTAATTATAAATAATTACAACGTGAATGTGAATTAAATATAATGTTTGTTTTCGAAATTTATGGATATGCTCTTAAGAGTCACGAAATGGCATAATTTTAAAATTGTAATTTGTACGGATATCCAGCCATGCAAATCTTTAATTTACATTTTATCTAATCAGATAGAAATAAATTGTATCAAAAAATCTGATTGACTGAAAGCTCTGACAGGGATTATTTATTAAAATAAAAATTTGTAAAATTAATCCAATGAAAGCGTTAATAGATTATAACGGATTCATTTTTGGAAGTATTTTTTTTTTGGAATTAAATAATAAATACACTGTTGTTTAGTTGACGAGATATTAATATAATTTTTAAGTATACGTTATTTAATTGTTTTATACTATATGTTGTTAATTTTAAGTTAGACTCAATATAACCTTTATATAAGCTTACCATGGATCAGGTAAAAAGGACCAAAAAATTGACAGTATAAAATTCTAACCGGATTTTAGTAAAAAAAATTCATATTGAGCATTTTATTTGTTGGTGGGATTTATGTGAAGATCAATCAAATCACTTTTTAATAATAAATAGTGAAATGAGTAATTGATAACTTTTTTATAGAAGAAAAGGATGTAAACAATAAAAATTAAGTTTAAAAAAGCAATTTTATAAGATATAAATTGAATTAATAGTTATTTCAAATAATGCACGCCATTTAGCGGCGGCATCCGAGTGGAAAGTGTTAATTGTTGGGTATATACCTAAATGAAAACATTTTTGTTATAATATCATTTACCATTTGAAATACTATTGCAAATATACAAATATATACTATAAAACGAATTAACTCAAAACTAGGTATAAGTGACATTGATACTTATAATTTTTTTACTCAATATAGTTTCTGCAAGAAAAAAACAAGTTTTTTTTGTGAACAACCTGTTATTTACAATTAAAAATATTTTTATACATGACACACAATATAATTATAAAAACTTATTTGTGACCGCAGATCTTTGACAAGATTCTAGTTAACTATGATAATGACGCAAATATTTTTGACGTTTGAGCTTTAACGATTTTATTATAATTAAATCAAAAAG